GGTAATGATGGTAAGGTTTTAAATATTTTGACACCTGTTTTTAATAGTGCATGGATAATTGATTCCGGTGCTACAGATCATATGACATTTGATTCGAAACAAGTCTTTCCTCTTAAACCTTCTACACAAAATTTTGTTTTTACTACCAATGGTACCTCAATTCCGATTATTGGAGAAGGATCCTTGTCCCTCACTGACACTTTGAATTTAGATTTTGTTTTGATTGTTCCATCTTTAGATTATAATCTCTTGTCAGTTTCCCAAATAACCACTGCCTTATTTTGTGTTGTCATTTTCTGGCCTGATTTTTGTGTGTTTAAGGACATCCAAACAAGGCAGACAATTGGTTGTGGTGTTAGGCGAGAGAAGCTGTATTACTTAGACTTGGTGTCAAAGAGTTTGAACCGGTTGCGTCATGCTTTAATGATAGGCGGTTCCGCGGGTGAAAAGAAGAAATCTGAGATATGGTTATGGCATCGACGTTTGGGGCATGCTTCATTTGGTTACCTGAAGAAATTGTTTCCTAATTTATTTGCAAAAATTTATATTTCCAGTTTCAAATGTGATGTTTGTGAACTTGCAAAGAACCATCGTGCTTCGTTTCCATTAATTTTGAATAAAAGTCCAGTTCCTTTTATGATTATACATTCTGATGTTTGGGGTCCATTTAAAGTTACTAACTTGGATGGATCACGTTGGTTTGTTACTTTTATTGATGTTTGTACCAGGATGACTTGGGTATGTTTGATGAAGTCCAAAAGTGAAGTAAACTTGTTATTTCAAAATTTTCATAAAATTGTTCACAGCCAGTACAATGCACAGATTCAGGTTTTCCACAGTGATAATGAAGGTGAATATTCGAGTCTTGAATTGATGCGATATTTGGAAACCCATGAAACTATTCATCAAACTACTTGTTCTAATACACCCCAGCAGAATGGGGTCGTGGAGCGAAAAAATCGACACTTGTTAGAGGTTGTTCATGCTTCGTTGATAGAAGCTCATATGCCAGTTTCTTACTAGGGACACGCACTTACCTCTGCAGCTCATTTGATCAATCAAGTACCTTTCAACACCATTGATTTTTGGACACCATTTCAGGCTCTCGCTGAAGCAATTGTTGCTCCCGTCACCCTCAACTTACCTCCTCATGTGTTTGGTTGTGTAGCATTTGTACACCTTCATAAGCATCAGCACACCAAGTTGACTCTTTGAGCATTGCGCTGTGTCTTTCTAGGATATGTTGCTTCTCAAAAGGGGTACTGCTACTATCACCCTTCCACAAATTGCATATTTGTTACGTTGAAGAAGTTCAAGCTCTAGACTATGACTATAATTTTTTGATTTCTACCAAAGAGGAACTCTCTCAACCTGGTAATCAAGATGTGAATAATGAGGAACTCTCTGAATCGGCTGAAAACAATGCGGGTAATTAGATTTGCGTAGTATACCTTTGGACCAAAGTGGTGATGAACACCCAGACAATGATGAACACCTAGAAAATGAAGTTGCAGCTCCATCTCTATCTGAATCCCTCACACCACAGGCCTCTGATACACCAAACTAATCATTTGTTGAGGATGTTCCTGAACCAACCATAAAATAGCTACCACCATGTCAAACCAGAGGTATCCCTAAAACCACATATGAACCCGAACTTTCTAGTAAAGTTAAATACCCTATGAGTCATTATGTGTCTAACCATCGTTTGTCAAAATCAAATAAGTCATTTGTAAATCAATTATCTGTTGTATCTATTCCTAACAATGTGCAGGAAGCCTTAGCCGACCTAAGGTGGAAAATTGCTATGAATGAGGAGATGAAATCCTTGTAGAAAAATGAAACTTGGAAACTTGTTGATCGTCCACCGGGAAAGAAAACTGTTGGATGTCGATGGATGTATACTGTGAAGCACAAATCAAACGGTACGATTGAACGCTTTAAAGCAAGACTTGTGGCAAAAGGGTACACCCAAACTTATGGGATTGATTATACAGATACATTTGCACCTATAGCTAAAATCAACACAGTTTGTGTCTTGTTGTCTCTAGCTATGAACCTGGATTGGCCAATACAACAATTTGATGTGAAGAATGCATTTTTACATGGCGAGTTGTCCGAAGAAGTCTACATGGATTTGCCACCAGGATGCATGATACCAAAAGTGCATTGTCAGAAGGTGTGCAGATTAAAGAAAGCTTTATATGGGTTGACACAATCTCCTAGAGCATGGTTTGGAAGGTTCACAAAGTCTACAAGAGCCTTTGGCTACCATCAAAATAATTCAGACCACACTTTATTCTTGAAAAAACAGCATGGTAAGATCACTGCCCTTATTGTGTATGTTGATGACATGGTGGCCACTGGAAATGATCCTAAAGAAAGAAAGGCTCTACAAAGTTATTGTCCAAAGAATTCGAAATGAAAGATCTCGGTCACTTGAAATATTTTCTTGGGATCGAAGTGTCTCAATCTGATAAAGGAATATTTTTTTTTTGTCTCAAAGAAAATATGCCTTAGATTTGTTGCAGGAAACTGGTATGTCAGCATGTCAACCAGCTGATACACCAGTAGAAAAATGATTGAAGATATGTATTGATCCGGGGCAGCACACAGACCAAACTCTGCCCGGCCCAACTTCTGGCAGCCCATCTCCGGGTGAACAGTCGATCATCTCGGCCCAATGCTCTGCTGGGCCCTCAACTTGTTCGGTCTATACCTCGGCCCAACACCGGAGCATAAATCACCCTCTCACCACACAAGGCCAGACCTTGCCTATGCTTTGAGTATTGTCAGCCAGTTTATGCATAATCCTAGAGAGCAACATATGAATGTAGTTATACGCATTTTGAGATATCTGAAGTCTACTCCTGGAAAAGGAATTTTATGTACAAAAAATATAGATTGTCAAAGTGTGGATGCATATACTGATGCTGACCGGGCTGGAACAGTAGATGACAGACGATCTACTTCAGAATATTTCACCTTTGTAGGTGGTAATTTCGTTACATGGAGAAGTAAAAAACAAAATGTTATTGCACGTTCAGGCACGAAGGCTAAATTTAGAGATATGGAACTTGGAATATGTGAATCATTATGGCTAAAAGTTCTCTTGGGGGATTTGAGCTATTCGCCTACGCAACCAGTTCAACTTTACTGTGACAATAAAGTGACATGTGATATTGCTCATAATCCGGTTCTACATGATCGTACAAAGCATGTGGAAGTAGACAGATTCTTCATTAAGGAGAAATTGGATGAGAAAATTGTGGAGTTGCTAAGATTCGCTCAAAAGATCAGTTGGCCGATATCCTTACTAGAGCAGTGTCAAGTCAAGCGTTCTCAAAGTTTTTGGGCAAGTTGGGCTTGTGTGACATCTATGCACCAACTTGAGGAGGAGAGTAGAGATTTTAGAAATTATCTCTTGTGATTGTTTCTTATTTGTAGATTAGGAAATAGCTTAATTGTTTCCTATTTGTAGATTAAGAAATAGCTTGATTGTAGCTTTGATTATAAGAATAACTCAATTATAGGACTTACTACTTACTGGTGATCCATCTCTATAAATAAGTAATTGTACAATATATTGAATTAAGATAAATAAAAATATTCTTCTCAAAGTCTAATTTGCAAGTTTATAATCAAATAAAAGAAAACATTTTATGCAGAATACTTTTTCTTCTGTAAAAATAATAATTGTTAAAATCATACTTTCATTGCATCAAATAGAGCGAGTATCAAACTTGCAATATTGATAATAATCTTTTTTTTTTTTTAACTTTTACCATATTTATTTTCATTTACATCACAACTTTTTTGAGTTTTCATATTAGTGACATGTTGACATGTTGTTTTAATGGTATGGTGATAAGCGATTGATATTAATTTAAAGGTCAGAAATGTCTCCAGTTAGATATTTTAACTGGACGGACCAGTCTGACTTATTTTGGATCTATCAAAATCATTAAATGTGTAGCACTTGTTGAGTACTTTATTTTTGTAAAAAATCATATTAATAGAATATTAACAGTCATTTGATCACATCATATTTGTGTCAATAATTTATTTTTCAAATTATATTTACCGTTGACACAAATTTAATCTGATCTAGTGACTATCAATATTCGATCAATGTAATATTTTACAGCAATGTACTCGATAAGCCATATACATTGAATGGTTTGGATCATGAGTGTAGGCTTCGTGGAAGATCCACAAAGATCTAACAGCACGTTCCAATCCGATTTTGGACTGGAGAGGAGCCATTGTCTTAATTTAAAAGATTTCCTTTAGATACTGTGTCACCAAGTGATTAATTTAGAAGATTTGTTTCAAATATTGTGTCCCCAAAGTCATTAATTTAGAACATTATCGGATAATCTTGTGTCTTCTTATTAAAAAACAAACAAGTTAGGGACTAAAAACTCAAGATACAAAAATACTAAGAAAAATGATGTATGTATAGTTCAGATTCCTTTTTTACGTGTCAATGATGTGAGTGTTAAATTTGAAGAATTTTTTTTTCTTTTTTCTTTTTTATTTTTTATATTTGAGTTTTTTCTGTTTATCCATAATACTATTGAAAGAAATTGGTCCTCCCGTTCCAAATATTGTCAAGAGTCATGGAGTTCTACTTTAATAATTTAATTTATTTATTTTGTAAGCTCATATACATATATATATATATATATTATTCATAAAAAAAATTAAAAAATTTGATAGTTATAAGTATGCAATTTTATTTATGAAAAATAAACAATCAAATTTATAAATCATTTTTTATCGCTCATTGTTTTAAAAATAAATACAATAAAATCATAATGATTAGATAAACTTAGAAAAGTCACATCTTAAATCTTATCAGATAATGAATACATCACTGAGGATCCAACTGGGCGCTCATTCTTTGTCATGAGACGGTTATAATAAAAAGACAAAATCAAGAAACTATGGACACGCAGACACTCTTGAAGAAGCCAAAGCCAAACAATTGACTTGCATATATAAACAATTTTTACATTCAATTTGCAGTACACAACAATTCAATACTAAATTTTAAAGGTGCAATAACAATAACATTATCAAAGACCAAGTCTACATTCTAGCTAATTCAACCCGATGAAAAAGTCTGGACGACGAATACCCATCACAATCACAACAAATAATTAATACTAAAGTGAAATTTCTGAAATAAATATAAAGAAATAAATAGAAGAAGTGCCTTTAAGAATTGGTGGACAGCATCATGTTCTTGAACTCTTCAAAATCGAGCACTCCATCGGAATTCATATCGTACATGTTAATCATGCTTTTGCAATCCCTGCCACAATGCTCGTTCCACAATCCTAATCGTGACAACACATTCTGGAGCTCCTCGCATGAAATGAAACCATCACCATTCAAATCGTACACCTTGAAAGCCTTGGAAAGATCACATTCCAAGTCATTAACATCTTCCTTGCCTATTTCGTTTTGATCACGCTTAATGAAAGTGTCATAGAAGAATATAAAGTCAAGAAGGTCGAGGCTTGTTTTGCCCACTAATAACTCAAGTTCGTCTAGGCTAGTCTGAACTCCGATTCTCTCTAGAAGCAATTTGATCTCATCGAGGCTTACAAAGCCATCACCATTTTGGTCTAGCTTGTCAAAAATCTGTTGCAAATCATTGGTGTTAAGAGGAGACATGTTGGTGGAGAGCTTGAAATGAAAGAATGTATGGATATTTATTTTTTTTGTTTGAACCTACGCACTTTGTTTGGAGTTGAAATATTGGGAGTATATATAGATAGAGATAGAGGAAATCTAGGTTGTCCTTTGAGGACCAAAAATATGAGACATTTGAATGGTATTGTAGTTGACATTTATATTCAACTTTGCAGAAAAATTCTTGGAGGAAGGGCTGTGAAAAATACACATCAAATAGAGCGAGCATCAAACTTGCAATATTGATAATAATCTCTTTTTTTTTAACTTTTACCATATTTATTTTCATTTACATCACAACTTTTTTGAGTTTCCATATTAGTGACATGTTGACATGTTGTTTTAATGGTATGGTGATAAGCGATTGATATTAATTTAAAGGTCAGAAATGTCTCCAGTTAGATATTTTAACTGGACGGACCAGTCTGACTTATTTTGGATCTATCAAAATCATTAAATGTGTAGCACTTGTTGAGTACTTTATTTTTGTAAAAAATCATATTAATAGAATATTAACAGTCATTTGATCACATCATATTTGTGTCAATAATTTATTTTTCAAATTATATTTACCGTTGACACAAATTTAATCTGATCTAGTGACTATCAATATTCGATCAATGTAATATTTTACAGCAATGTACTCGATAAGCCATATACATTGAATGGTTTGGATCATCAGTGTAGGCTCCGTGGAAGACCCACAAAGATCTAACAGCACGTTCCAATCCGATTTTGGACTGGAGAGGAGCCATTGTCTTAATTTAAAAGATTTCCTTTAGATACTGTGTCACCAAGTGATTAATTTAGAAGATTTGTTTCAAATATTGTGTCCCCAAAGTCATTAATTTAGAACATTATCGGATAATCTTGTGTCTTCTTATTAAAAAACAAACAAGTTAGGGACTAAAAACTCAAGATACAAAAATACTAAGAAAAATGATGTATGTATAGTTCAGATTCCTTTTTTACGTGTCAATGATGTGAGTGTTAAATTTGAAGAATTTTTTTTTCTTTTTTCTTTTTTCTTTTTTATGTTTGAGTTTTTTCTGTTTATCCATAATACTATTGAAAGAAATTGGTACACCCAAATTAGTGGCCATACATGATGAAAATGAGGCAACAAAACACATGCAAACATGCAAGATGTAAGGGCCCAAAGCCTAGGGCACAAGATACAACTGTATGAAAGCATGGGAAGGATGAAATATGGCATACAACAACACATGTTCCAGCTCTGAAATGACATACAAAATGGTCCCTAATCGTGCAAACAACTCATGTTATGCATGTTGAATGGCTCAAATACTAAAACTAGTGAAGTGCATTACACTAGAGGTATGCAAAGCAATGCCCAAATGAATAAACCAACCACAAACAGTCCCTATGTAGGCCCAAAACAGTGATAAAATGGACTAAGATGATGGCTTGAAATGCGCAAAAATAAAGCTCATGCAATGGCCCATAAATGAGGTATACAAGCACAACTCTCAAACGCATTTAAAGAGTGGAAAACATGGGAACATGGCACAAGTATAGGCTCTAAAATAACATGCTCAATGATGCCAAGACATGGAAACACCTCAAGTTAAGCATGAAAGGGGCTCTAAAACTCAACGCTAGGCAAGGATATTACACTACAAGTATGCATGGCAAGCATTATTCAACCAAGAGGCCTTAAAACAGAGCTAAGGCAGCCCAAAATATGAACAAAATTAGTTTGAAGTATGGCCAGAATATGCTAGAATCAATAGCCAAAACAACATGCAATGTAAGCTAGTGAGCATGGTTTACACTACAAGCATGTGAAGCATTCAAGAGGCCACAAAACTAGTGAAAGACAGAGCTATGATATGCCTAAAGCGATGCAACCAAGTCATGCAAACATGCAAAGGATGACGCGCAAACATGCAAACAAGCATACGCAATGCTACGAACTAACAATGGTATACTCAATGCACATGATACTATATGTCATACACAATGCACATGTGAAGACTATCATACACAATGAAGTGAACAAGGCATGTGCAATGCAATGATCAAGCATGCGACAACGCGGCATACTCAATGCTATGAACTACGATGGCATACTCGATGCAAACTGGACTTAAACCAAAATGAATGGGCCTCAGCCATGCCCAAATCAGTGGCCATACATGATGAAAATGAGGCAACAAAATACATGTAAACATGCAAGATGCAAGGGCCCAAAGCCTAGGGCACAAGATACAACTGCATGAAAGCATGGGAAGGATGAAATATGGCATACAACAACACGTGTTCCAGCTCTGAAGTGACATACAAAATGGTCCCAGATCATGCAAACAACTCATGTTATGCATGTTGAATGGCTCAAATATCGAAACTAGTGAAGTGCATTACACTAGAGGTATGCAAAGCAATGCCCAAATGAACAAACCAACCCCAAATAGTCCCTATGCAGGCCCAAAACAGTGGCAAAATGGACTAAGATGATTGCTTGAAATGCACAAAAATGAAGCTCATGCAATGGCCCATAAATGAGGTATACAAGTACAACTCTCAAATGCATTTAAAGAGTGGAAAACATGGGAACATGGCACAAGTATAGGCTCTAAAATAACATGCTCAATAATGCCAAGACATGGAAACACCTCAAGTTAAGCATGCAAGGGGCTCCAAAACTCAAGGCTAGGCAAGGATATTACACTACAAGTATGCATGGCAAGCATCATTTGACAAAGAGGCCTCAAAACAGAGCTAAGGCAGCCCAAAATATGAACAAAATCAGTTTGAAGTATGGCCAAAATATGCTAGAATCAATGGTCAAAACAACATGCAATGTAAGCTAGTGAGCATGGTTTACATTACAAGCTTGTGAAGCATTCAAGAGGCCACTAAACCAGCCAAAGACAGAGCTATGATATGCCAAAGAATGACCAAAAACCCACTGAAACATGACCAATACATGAAAGAATGACATGCTCCTTTGATAAGCTATGAAGAGGATTATTCTACACATGCAAGAGGCAAACATGAGGTGACCAAACCAGCCCTAGAAAGAGCCTAGGCAGGTCCTAAAAGTCACCAAAAAGTGCCTAAACTAGGCCCCCAAATGGTATAAACATATGCTCCTTTGATAGGCCAAAAATGCTAGTAAACAAGGCAACAAGAGAGAGGGTCACCCCTCTCTGATTTAGGCCCTCAAAACCACATTCTCACCAATGAAAATCCATTGGATTTTAGTGGTAGGAAGGCCAAGCAAAGATTAAATCAAAGGTTTTACGGCATGGCACAAAATAAGGCTATTTAAAGCATGCAAAAAGGGTGGATGACCTTCAACACCAAATGGTCTTAAACAAACATCAAAAGGACCTCAAAACAAGAATTTTTTCAGTTGACAACAAAGCTCAAATAAGCATGCAAGTTTGGCTAAGAGAGTGATCAAGACAAAGCTTTAAAAGAGAGAAAAGAGATTACCCTTGAAGCTCTGCAAAACCAGCAACTTCTCCCGCCCAAAACCAATTCTTTAACCTCTGAAAATACCCTCCAAGAACCTCAGATCAATGGTGGAGGTGTGTGGCTATGAGGTGTGGTGCAATAGGCCAAGAACAATGCACTTTTTGAACCAAAACGTAGAGATATAGAGAGGGATATATATCTTGCCTTAAACAAAATTTTTGGAACCTGGTTGAGACATCTCAAGACTCTCCAAGAACCTTAGATCAATGGTGGAGGTGTGTGGCAATGAGGCGTGGTGTTAAAGGCCAAGAACAAACACCCTTTCTAAGCCTAGAATGTAGAGATATAAAGAGATATATGTGCTTTTCCTTAGACAAAAATTTTTTTCAACCTCTCTAAAGGAGAGGGAAGCCCTCTCTTATAGAGAAACAAGAGGGTTCAAGCTTCTTGGAGAAGCTAGAGCAAAAGGTTCAAGAAGTTCAAACTTCCTCAAGAAGCTAAAACAAGGGTTCAAAAGGTTCAAGTTTCCTCAAGAAGATAAAACAAAGGTTCAATTGCAAAAGCACCAATTGCAAAAGCACTCATTCCATACTTGGATTATTTTAGTGATTGGATGTAAATGAGCTAATTAATAAGATTACGGCAGACAAGTTATATTATAAAAATAAATAACATAAATGATAAGATTATGGATAAAATGAAACAAAGGATTAGATCAATGAGTAGAGATTATTTGTATAATGTGTGGTGAAGATGATATAAATTATAAATAATAGAATACATAATTACTTTTGATTGTTGAATAAACAAATAAAATAATTCAAAACAGCTTTACATATCCCCATCATTTTCCCATTTAATCTCTCATATCAATATAAAAATACTGTGAGATAAGTAAGGGATTATAGGTAAATAACAAATTGGACCCACAAAAAAATGAATTTATGTGAATCGAAATCTTTTTTACTTTTTAAAAGTCTATCGTTGTAACTATTACCATCCTATCATTTTCGCCACTATCACCATCACTAACCAGCCACACAACCATATTATTTTGTCACCATCACCACGGCTACTCATTAACAGTCCACCACATCTATTATAACAACTACAACATCAACTTCAACATTATATGTAGAGATTTTAGGAATTATCTCTTGTGATTGTTTCCTATTTGTAGATTAAGAAATAGCTTGACTTTTTCCTATTTATAGATTAGGAAATAGCTTGATTTTACCTTTGATTATAGAAATAGCTCAATTATAGGACTTACTACTTACTGGTGATCCATCTCTATAAATAAGTAATTGTACAATATATTGAATTCAGATGAATAAAAATATTTTTCTCAAATTCTGATTTGCAAGTTGGTATCAGAGCCTTGGAAGGATCATCATCATCCTTTCATTGAATCCATATCACCATCAAACCATGGCCAAGTCAGATTTTAAAACATCTGACACCAAGTCTGCTCCTATTATCATTCAATCTGAAGGCTCATCGTTTAATGCAGGGATTGTACTCAATGAGACTAATTATGATATGTGGTCTCAAATCATGGAGATACATATTGCTGAGAATGAGAAACTCTCCTTTATTCATGGCAATTCACAGCTACCAACCGAGACGGATGATGGATATGAGAAGTGGTATGCAGACAATCAAAGGGTCAAGAGATGATTGTTGATTTCTATGTCCCCGGACATTATGAAGTGATACATTCGTCTACCCACGCTCGCTATAACGATCCCGGTTGTC